TGTACTCACGCACATTTTTGATTGACTTTCAAACTACGCGTAAGTATTTCTCAGAGGTGGGGTGAAAATGTCATGAGGGATTAGTATATACTTCAAATCAAAGTGAGTTGTGTCATACAATATATTATGGATTGCTATTATACCTGAAGATCCCGGATGAAGAGAAAACCTTCGGCAACAGATTACTCTGAGGATTCGGTAAATTGTGCAAACATTTTGTTCAAAATAAAGCCGTAGTTATTATTATTATTACTGTGACGAACTTCGCCTTTAAGTTAGTCTACTTCGTACAAACTAATACTTGAAAATAAAGCCACCATTCAATGACGACTGACTGCAGAATGGGCTTCCTGGAGTTCTAATGGGAGGTATTTACCAGTGGGATCTACTCTGTTGGCTACGAAGATAGTTACACACCGATAGTACCGGATGAAGGTAGTTCTATGTAGCTGATAGACGGAATTTAAATTTCAAGAGCAGGAATTTTAGTTAGCACAAGTAGTCAGTGTTCTCATCTCGTAGCCTAAAGGTGGGAGTCATGCGAGTGTCCTGCTAAAGTGCCCAAAACTAAAATAAAACAGCTGTTTGGTGCTCCTTGTTTTTCAGTGGTTCTTGAAGTGAGTTAGGTTTGTAAGGAAATTTATCATGAAAACTATCAGCACTGAATAAATGGTCACATGTTTTTGAACTTCAGTTTAATTACGGATATCTGGATAACCAGATAGTATTGTGGCGTGTGCTACTGGCAAGATTTATCAGTAGTATATAAAAGGGACGTTCATCAGCACAAAAATATTAAATAGCGGAGAGATAGAATTGACGTCAAAGTTAGTAAATGAACCAGTGTTGCTGCAAAACACGGCAGACACGAAAACAAGACAAAGAAACACAATACAAAGGGCAGATGTAGCAAAACACGGAAGATCTGTGCAAATGACGATTTTCATATAAGGTGTACATAATTTCATTATAATAAAGGTTTTTTTGTATTTTCCAATGAATGAAAAACAAAACAATATTGTTTTTACTGACGTTTCGCTATTTAATGCTGCTAATAGCTTTATTAAAGTACTATTAAACCAGAATTTACAAAATCTCAGCATATATATAACAAAGAGTTAAGAGGTGAGAAAATAGACTTAGGTCAATTGAATTTTAGATTTTCCCGTCGATTGGCACTGGGTTCGAGCCTCCATGGGAACATCATCACTCACTGGGGAATGCAGGCACATCCAGATGATGAGTCCCAAATAGGACGAAATTCGCACCGTGGATTTCACTGCTAGTCACCATCCACCAATTAAAGACTTAGGTTAAGTTAAAAGGACATATTGAAAGTCAAAATAACAATGAAGATCACTAAACCAAATAACAAAGGTAATAGTACATCTGTTATGGTATCGAAACAAAGTTTACTAACTTGATCATCGTTCCTCAGTATGGGGTCATTTTTCGTTGTCAAGTTGGCCAATTGGTAAAGATAACAAAACCAGGTGTAGATTTTTGGATTTGATCAGTGTGTAAAATTATAAAAGCAGTGTCTGCTTACATAATGAAATCACTTATCACATTCATATTGATTTTGTCACTTCATGGGGAAGGAGGTGTTGTAACCAGGTCAAATTCTGTTTTAGTCCATCATTCCTATTCAGACAATTTGGATTCCACTTGATATGAAGTGCTTCTGATATTAGACGTTCTTTGTGATTTCTGTTTCTGGATTATTTCAATATTGTACATAATTTCCCTACCTAGAGATATCAAATTCTAAATAAACATTCCGTTATCAAGTCTCTCATCGTCTACCGTTTTACACTGTCATCAAGCCTCGGAGAATAAATAAGAATCACTGACAACTGCACAGACATGCATATCTATCTACAAATTACTTCACATATTTCGTTCACTTTTAGTTTCACACAGAGCAACCAAATTTCATGCAGTCAATAATGCATGATAATTTAAACAGAAATTTACAATAATTCCTGTTTTAATGAACGTCAGCTTCATTGAAAGTAGAAACGTGCCATTATCAAGATACTGGAATTAAGTCTGTTACATGCAAACACTAAAAGTTTTGACGTAAACAGAAGGCTAAACTAAGCCAACGAAAAATTCAGCTGTTCGAATAAAATTTCCTTTCGACAAAAATAGACAAAAATTTGAACTAATAAAAGCACATTTTCTTTCCAAATAACATTTTCCCCCGTGTTTTATTTTGGTCTACCATCTTCATTATTATTTGAAGTGAATTTGCAAAAACATTTTTCACTTCCTTTCATTTTATACAAATTCGTTGGTTTTAATCTTTCCACCATTCACTTAATTTTTGTTTGAATTGACATTGAAATTTGTTAAAATTTGAAAATAAAATTTAAGTTTCAATTCCTCAACAGTGAAACACAAATGGTAATTGTATAGATGAACACAAAGGATGAATTTATTACGTAACAGAAAGTTAAATCTGATTTCTTTTTAGTCAAAGAAGATGAATAATTAATAATTTTATTTTAATAATTTTTATTTATGGATTTCCCACCGATGATATTGGTTGGTGGTCGCGTTAATTGCATCACGAATTGATAGAAGTTAGAATTTCATTGGCTGGCCATTGAATCGGGTCCCAGTGGCTGAATGGTATACGAGCTTGCCTTGTAATTGGAAGGCCCTGGGTTCGAACCCTGGTGGTGGGTGCGTACTGCCGATGATTCCCAAACTAGGATGAAACGGCTGTCCAGTACTCCCTTGTGGTTTCCAAAGGTTCTCTTACTGATATCAATCCATGATCAAACTCGTAAAAACATAACTAATCCTTACAAACCAACTCCTGATAATAATTTTATAATGAACTGTAACATTTATTCTTTATCAAGTAAATAATACTGTTTCACTGTGTAATATGTGCCTCGGTGATTCAATGGTGTGATGCTCGCCACCCGGGTCGGATTCCCACCTGACACACTCCTAAACCTTAGTTAGCATGTAGTAAGCCTGAAAGGAGGGAAGCTTAGCAAACCAACCCTATAAAAATGACAAGACCGTTAATAAAACTTTAGAGCTTAAAGCTCGAAGCCTTGTGTTTCACTCGGATGACCTGGGATGAATAAAAAACGATAAAAGACTGTGTGATATATCCAACAAATAAATTAATATGGAACTGAACACAGTCTGAGAAACCAACAGATGCAAGGATATAATGAATCCACTTAGTTAAGTCAGAAGTGAATCCTGAACTAAAGTTTTGTACTTGCTAGAATTCATTAAGGGGAAGTATCTTTTATTCTTTTATTAAAGGAGAATCTTTGAAATTCATAATAGAAGTATTATATGATCGATTGCTTAGAAGATTTTTGCATCAGGTGAAGAATTCAACATCTAAAAATTCTTGATTTCCTTCATCTAACAATTTCCAATAACCAAATAAATCACAACTCTTCGGGATACAGTTTGTTAAATAAAGTAAAGACATTAGCAGCCTTTGACATTATAGATCCTTGTCCACTCTAAAAGACATATTTTCAAATATTGGAAAATATTTGTAGCTCAGGTGGATTTCTTTTGCTATTACTGTGACCCCTTTCTGAAAACAGCCAATTATAGTCAGGGTTATCAGAAGAGAGAGTTATATCACTCACTCCACACTAAAGTTGGTGCTGAAGATGTTATCTAGAAAGATAATGAAAGCTTTGCAGTTAAAACCATCAAACTCAGTCAGAGAACAAGACGACAACAAAAGTTTATTTTAATGATCGTATGCTATTTAAAGGAATAAACTTAACTCATTAACTAATGATATCATCAGTTGTAATCTATAGGATCAAAACAAGAGGTCGTTTTACACCTTCACACTTGCTGAACTGTAGGGAGTGAGAAGACAGGAATACGTTGGACCACCGATAAGAAGACTCTAGAAGATGTGGATTTCGCAGACGATTTATATCTAATGTCATACAAACTCGAAGATTTAGAGGCAGATGGAAGCTAACAGGCCTACAGAAGGGACAGGCAGCAAATACATGACTTCAAGTGAACATAGAGAAGAGAGAGACGGAGACGATGAAGTCAACCAAATAACAACATTAAAAAGCACCAGTCACTGTCAACGAAATAAATTTGAAAATAGTCACTTCCCCTACCTATCTGGCTAGGTGACGTCGTTTTAAATACAGGCAGTTAGTCCGGATGAGCATGTCAAAACCAGAAGTGGAAAGGCAAGGCAGATTTTCGTCATTCTGAAATCAGTTTGGAAGTCTTCTGCACTCAGTCAGCATGGGGAACGAGATTTGGGTTTTCAACACCAGTGTCAAGTCACTTCTTCTATATGGGTGAGATACTTGGAGTGTAATGTAAAGCACTTCGAACAGGTTGTGGACTTCTATCAAAAACTCCCTCCTCTGGCTTTCTACTGAAGATCAGATGGCCGGCTTTACAGAGAGAATTAGCAATAAACGACTCTGGGAACGAACCAATGCAGGACATGTTGCTCAGCAAATATGTGGAAGAAAATAGAGATAGATGGGACACACACCGAGGAGACCGTTGAGTGACATTACTCTGCAGGCCATCGCCTGAGTGGAAGCAGAATGGGAAACGATGACTAGGGCGTCGAGAATGACATGGAGGAGATAGTGTGATTATGAGATGAGAGGTTATGGTCAATAGTGGGGCCATTTGAGGAGGACTGCAGATAGCAAGGTAAAATGGAGCTGTTCTGTTGTAACCTTATTCTGCACTCGGCACCCAAGAAAATAATTATAAAAATAATAACAGTTTTTTTTATTTTCTAAGTACTGACTTATATCTTCAAAGCTTCTTTCTGCTCAGAATTCTAATCCCCATATAGTCAGAATAAATTGTCATCTGATATATTTAAATTTATATATTCAGTGCTTGTCTATGTAAGAAAAAAGTGTTCTTTCCAAGTCGCCTTATGTCATATGATTCAATAAGGCTGTACAATGCTTGTTTGTTCTAACTTTTTTACTTGTTATTCTCTTTAGCTTCTGCTATCAAATGTCGAACATGTCTACCCTGTGAAGAGAAATATAAAAAGTTATTCAAGATTAGAGCAGATGAAATTGTAGATAACTGCGGAGTTTGCATTGTGAGTCATTTAAAATATCATTATTACTATTATAATTATTATTGATAAATTGAGTAGCCGAATTTTCTCTATTTTAGTGTTTAGGATCATGTTTGTTAAAAAACGGTACTAATTAAGTGAAAGTTAAATGACTTACACTCCCATGATATAAAAATATATCCAACTTGTTCTATAAATGAATATTATTAGTAGTCATAATCTGAACACACCTTATAATAAAATATCTGGATCACAGGATTGGGTTTCTCAAGTTCAAATCTTCTGTTGAACATGAAATAAAAAATTAGTAATCTCAAAAACACTTAAAAATGATTTTCATCACCAGTGGACATGAACACAACACAGTACTGTTTGATACAATGTTTATGTCGCAACTTAAAACAGTTATCAAGTATTGGTTTCGTAGGGACTTTGTTTAATTGGTTGGAGGATTTCATTATGAGCTGACATCAGTTAGAGAACCATTGGAAAACCTGCAGGGAGTACTGGACAGTTGCTTCGTCCTAGTTTGGTCACGCTATGTCATGAATTGGCAGAAGTTAGAACTCATGGGCTGGCCACTGAATCAGGTCCCAGTGGCTTAATGGTCTGTAAGCTCGCTAGCCTTGTAACCAGAAGGTCCTGGGTCCGAACCCCGGTGGGCGCATACTGCTGGAGAGTCCCAAACTGGTAAGAAACAGCTGTCCAGTACTCCCTGCAGGTTTTCCAATGGTTCTCTAACTGATGTCAGCTCAGGATGAAATCCTCCAACCAATTAAAACAATTAATTGACAAACATCAATCTGTTATCTTTATTCACAATAAAATCTATAATATTCAGACATAGTACCTTACTTTTTAGCTTTTCTTTTTGCCTGCCGGACTTAATTGGAGTTAAATACTGAGTTCTTCTTGTAGCTTGGAGGAATTTTACTTTTGCATACCTCTGAACCTTCAAAGAAACTATTAACATAGACTTCCAGCGTGTCTTGGTCGATTAATGCATGCGTTGAGAATTAAAAAACTATTTGACTTCGGAAAAGTATTTCGTAGTCAGTGTTCACAAGGTCTATCTGGACACATATGTTCATCATGACTGTTTAGACAATAGTGATATTTTTGGATGTGTTCAGTATTGAGTCAGTCTGTACACCTTCCATGTTTTTCCTGTGAATTACTAACACTTATCAAGTTTGCATTCGAGATTTATATTCATTAATGTAATAGGACTAAACATAGATTCAATACACTAATTACATGACAACAAGCATGTCATCTCAGTTCTTAAAGTATTTGGTGATGTTATGTCCATTCAGTTGGATAGCTGAATAATGAAGCTTTCACTGTCCTTCCAGGCAACATCTTCAGTGCTACCTTTATTGTAATATGAGCCTTCACAACTCTCCACGGATAGAACATCCGTCTTTTCTGATGATCCTGACAATAATTAGTTTACCCTAAAGATTTCCTTAGGAACATATTCAACCTGTTATGTTGTTGATGTCCTGTTTTTCACTTAAGACTCAAGGAAAGAAATAATAATTATATTCAGCCATCATTTATATGGATCTTCTCAGGCGAACACAACCCTAAAAAGAAAAATTTCCATGGGCAAACAATCACAGTCAAGATCACCAGTAAACACGACATTTCATCTCCGAGGTATACTGGATGTCCACTTCACACTGAAGTCAACGCTAAAATTGATCGAAAAATCTGTATGAATACACCACTTTTCAATGAAATGAATTAATTAAAACCAGATGTAAATATTTGATTGGTCATTAGGGAATAACTGTTGATTATGTTGCTTAGTCCTCAGTGCTAACTGATGAATTCTACCAGTCGTGACCAGTAGGGCCCAGCAGGTTGGGTGTGAGGAAAAATACTCACCGAAGACATTGGCTAGGGGTCGCGCTTTGTCGTAAATTGGCAGAAGTTAGAATTCATGGGATGGTCATTGAATCGGGTCCCAGTGACTTAATGGTCTACGAGCTCGCTAGCTTTGTAACCAGAAGGCCCTGGGTTCTAATCCAGGTGAGCGCATACTGCTGAAGAGACCCAAACTAGTAAGAAACAGCTGTCCAGTACTCCCAGGTTTTCCAATGGTTCTCTAACTAATGTCAGCTCATGACGAAATCCTTTAATGTCATCTGTTTGTCTAAGTTTTATATTCTGTTCTATCTGTTTATTAATATGCAAAAAAGCGTATCTTCTTCTGCTTTCAGTATTGACGCTTTTGCATATTATATAAATCAACTTTCTTATTTTACAGACTGCGTATTCTACATATCATGGTTATGAAATGGAAGGTCGTGGATGTCTCCCAAAGTGTCCAACGAAAAGTAAATATAATGAGTTAACCCCGGGACTTGTTAGTAAATTCGACTGTTGTTATTATGATCTATGCAATGGAGCAAGCAGAAATTCCCTTTTACACCTTCAGTTATTACGGCTGTCATGTTTCCTAAGCATTGGAGTCTATCTGATAAACAGAATTATTTCTTAATAACCAGTATCTCTGAATCATAAATCAAGGTAAATAGCTTCACCAAATGTCTTTCTTAAATGAAATCAAGTGGAATATTCTCAATATATATATATATATATATATATATATATATATATATATATATATAGTTTCTTTTTTTTTATCAAGTAATTTGTTTCCATATTCTGTTCAAATTCCCATTATTGCATTTTCCTACTTATTTGCTACACTTACTCTGGCTACTCATGAGTAGCTAGACGATATCAAAAAATATTTTCATGTGTGTAAATTACAAATTGTACAAACGAAAATAAAACTCATTGACGATGTGTGTGTAACATACGTAATATTTCTATTTTTAAATGAACAGTTTCATGAGTTTGCCTTCTTACTTACTCAAGAATCTGCTCATGAATTCATATTGATAAAGCCATCACTGACTGTATAATTTTCTTACAAACTATACTACATAATGTCACTGTGAATTCTATATTTTATTCCACAGTCCAACTTCAAGATCCAGATGTGAAATTTATGCTGAACAAAAAAATTCAGCTGCAAAAATCATTGTGATATATGTATTTAATTACCTTTAATAGTATAACAGTTTATTATTTAGCCTAAATGAAAATTTAATGTTTCCTTCTATGTTTTACTTCTAAGCTTGACAAATTATTCACACCTCAGATATCTATTATGATTTTTGAGGAGAAGAAAGAAAATTGATGCAGGAGAAGAAGAACCAGGCAAAAACTAACCTTTCAGCTAACAGGCCAAGTTATCTATCAGTGATATGAACATCTCTTTAAAATTAAAAGTTATCCTCTAAACATTAGCTTATATAGGATGCTGATGTATTAAGGGGATACTATACTCTTTTGAAAACTAACCTTTATTATATTAAACTCTGTAAAGATCTATTTCACTGGTATAAAACTAATCAACAGATAAAGACAGAGAAGGAATGACTTTTCGAAATGTAACCACAGCTTTTCTGTCACCAGTTCTCGTTTAATCGAATGTGTCTAAATCCACTAATCTTTTTTCTAAACAATGCTGGAAATTCAATATACTAATCACACAGGAATTAGCTCATATTTCCACTTTCTGCTCAAATCTTATGGCAAACCACATAGACACATAGAATCCTATGGAATATTACTTGTTTAAAGGGATGTCTTGTTTGTGTGAATAAGATTCAGTAGTGTACCAACGAAGAATAAATTTACTGTACTTCACTCAATTCAATCGACCTTTATTTTCTACCTTTTCAATGCTAAGTAATTTGGTAGATGGTGACTAACAGTGGAAACAAGGATGCACATTTCGTCGTATCTGGAACTCGTCATCCGGATGCATCTGCATACCCGGCGAGGGACGGTGCTCCCACTGGGACTCGAACCCAGTACGCATCGTTTCAAGAGCCAGAGTTATCCACTCGCGTCACGAGAGCCAACTTTTGTGTAATGGTTGTCAGTTATTATTTAATTCTACTTAGACCTTCCCGCTAATTGACCGAACTGAAGTGTTCGACCTCTGTTAGTAAGAGGTGGCTGTCGTGGTCCAATGGATGACGCTTTGGCCTTTGAAACGATGGAAACTAGGTTTGAGTCTCAGTGGGGGCAGTATCACTCACCGGGAATGCAAGTACATCTAGACGACCAGTTCCAAATACGACGAAATGTGCACCCTCGATTCCCCGGATAGTCACCATCCACCAAATTACTTCAAGTTAAATCCTCAGACATCGTCGAAGCATCCGCACAAGGAGCCGATATGTCAACAGGAGCCGAACACCTCGGTCCAATCAATCAATAGGAAGGTTTACATTGAATTAATTAACCTGTTTGCAGTTCTTGCAGTTTGACTGTCTGCTATTTGTATAGAAATTGTGATGTGGGTTTCGTAGGCATTATTTCTTTTTCTTTTCCTCATATAGTCTTCCTTGTACTTGACTGCTACAGTTCATACTGCAACATCAGAACACGTTACGATTTGAACTTAAATGATGCCAAGTACCTTAAATTCTTCAATTCAAAATAGTTCTAAGAATATGAAATACATTAGTGGGATTCAAAAAACTACGATCTAATTTTGGCAATTATTCAGCAAAATATTTTACCAAGGAAATTTAACTTGCTTTTAGCTGCAGTGACTGATAATTGAAGGTTGAAATGAAAATCAGCGTCGTCACAGGATATGTGCCTGCAAACTCTGAATTAATAGTCTGGTGAGCTGTCAACTGAGCTACGAAATTTAGTCGTCAACCAGGTCATCGTTTTACAAGCATATTGCAGTATCAATGAACGATGAGTTGTTGCTCACATATCATCACACCACCTACCCATATGTTTCAACAAAAGTCTGCGCCTCAGCGGTTATCTCAGATAGCATTTCTTTTTCCTTCACGTTCCCAGTGGAACATAGGACTTCAAGCTAGTGGCTTGAAGTTTCTGTAACAGTGTTTATTTTACAGGATGGGGTTGCTAGCCTCATGCCCAACCTTTCCTCTTGACCAGCGTTATTTCTGGCTTAGCGAGGTAACGGAGTGCGTTGGCTGAGGATCGAACCCCGGACCATGTGCATGGTCGGCGAGCGTCCTAACCGCTATGCCACCGACGCACTTTTGACGACTGTTTCGTCCTAGTTTGGGACTCTTCATCAGTACGCACCCACCGGGACTCGAACCCAGGACCTTCTGGTTACAAGGCGAGCTCGTATACCATTAAGCCACTGGGACCCGTCTCATATAGTCTTAACATTAATTAACACCCTGTTACTCTGCTTCTAATCCAGTAATATTGGAAATGAAAGGAGACTCAGACGAGTAGCTAGTATAATGATAAACTGACAGCGACGTATCTGTGAATCATAAAACAGCTAAACGGTTAGTAATTGCAATGAAAATGATGACAGGGAAAGCAGTTAGGTCCCGTAACTGACAAATTACTTCATATTTTCAGAAGAAAATCATAATTAGTCATGTATTACATAACTCTGTGGAACTGAACTATGATACGTTTCCTCCACTTACAAGCACTACTGATGGGACCCAGCATTAAAATATTATATGATCCTTTCTCACTAGTCGTGTGATTTATCTTGTCATGGAGTTACTATGTGGATCTATCATTTCTCACTCATATTGTGATTTAGTGTGTAATCAATTCATCGTCTGTCGTTTTACCCTGGTCTTTGTTGGATCACCAACCAATCACAATAGAAATTTCCAGCCAATAAGAACAGTGCATTCCCATGGTTGTAAGCCAACTGTATTGTGATAAATTAAATATGATGAATATGATGTTTAGTTTCCTAATAGATGTACAATAGAAATTCTGACAGTCAGTCACATGCCAGCCTTTGTCTTTTGATATTTGCGTGGCTCAGTGAATCGGAAGGTAAAACAGACAAATAGACGTATTAGCGTACCAGTCGAGTTCATTACCGTTATAGTAATTAGCAGGCGCAGATATAACAAATTAGCAAAGGATTTATTCAGTTCAGTTCAGTTATAACAACTATACCTTCAAGTAACTGTGCATAATATTTACCAGTACACCAATGGTATACAACAAATCGGTCGGTCGGTATTCGACATAGAACTTTGCACATATGTACGGCAGTTCAAGTCGCCACACTCCATGTAGCACACAAAGCAAGAGAAGAAAGTAGGACAAATGCATAATATAGATAGTAAACAGAGGTGTGAGACAAAGGTATAGTAATAACGAAGAACAAAACAGTTTCATTAGAAATCATAAGTCACAAGGAGTAGATGCATCTGCGCTAGCCATTGAGAACGATTTTGAGCCATGTCACTAATTGTTTCCAACCATTGATTTTTACCGTCCCGAGGACCCCAACCAGGAAGTCTGCACCTTCCTAAGTGGCTGGCTTAGACTAACTGTTGTGGATTTCATTGACTGGTGCCATGTTTTCGTTTGACCGCCGCTAGCTCTTTTCCAGTCTGACCCTATATCAGCTAACATTGCCCGTCAGTCGAGGAAGGCGATGACTATGCATACGTAACACATGTCCTAACCATCTCAGTCGATGTAATTTCACAGTCTCGTCGACTGATTTCCCCTTCTTACCTAGCACTCGACGCCTAACCTCAATATTGCCTAGTGCTAGGTAAGGAGGGGAAATCAGTCGACGAGACTGTGAAATTGCATCGACTAAGATGGTTAGGACATATTTTACGTATGCCTAGTCATCGTTTTCCTCGACGGGCAATGTATACAACAAGTAAAGATATGGAATTATTCATTTTTTACTAATCAGTTCTAAAGGCATGCAGAAGCAATTTACTGGTGCTTTAAATCTACAACTTAACATATCAAACATGAAAAATGAAGAACAGCTACATTACTCGGTTCTGTTTTCACTAGAAAACATTAGGCTTATCCGTTCACATTTCACAAAACATATTTTATCATCTGGTTCAAGTTTCTTAATACGTCATAAAGATTTACAACGAATTAGCCATCAAATAGCAGACAGTGTAGGTGTTTAGTCTTAGTGGTATTGATTAAAGTTTATCGATCATATTTGCAATTTGTTTACTAAGACAGGTGAAATGATAATATTGTAAAGTGGAATGCATATTCGATTCTCTGTAAGATATTAGAAACTGACCAGAGCTTTCCGCCAAATGGTTTGTAGGGCCTAACACTGTAAAAATATCCAGAGTTTCTTGATTTCACAAATATCTGACACTTAATTTTTAGTTACCGATGTTTCTTCATTTGTATTTGTTTTCTAAACAGCACAAATTTTACCAAATTGCGAAAGCGTTCATCTACTGTATCTACCAATCTCAGGAAATACAAAGTTTCATATGAAGAGGGTTTATCTGACAGGTAAACCTACTTTGATTGGACACTAGTAACTAGTGTGACGTGTCTAGTCCTTTCTTTGGTGCAGACTGACTTCTATCAGTCAGGTATTTTGCAATGTGGCCACCATTCTAGGTAGCTCACCATCACGCTGCACATTGATTTGATGATATTAGG